CATTCCCATACTTTGGTCTCTTTGTATGTAAAGAGGGGACAGTCTTCCTCTGCCTTAGGAGGCTGTTGGGATGATTAAATGAATTGCCCTATAAAGCACTTGGAACACATGCTGGCACTGAGCAGATGCTACAGCTGCTGTTGTTGCCATGGCGGGGGAAGCGGGTCCCTGTCTCCTGGTGAGATGACAAAAAGGTGTGGTGTGGGGAAAACATCCTTATTATTCTCTGCAGAAGAAATGGCCAGAGAAGGCCAGAGTTCGTAGGAGAGTCCTCACTGAAGATAAGGAGCCATTCCCTACTTGGATAACTGTCCCATGGGTATCATTTTAAGGTCCAAACCATCCTCATCATTACAAAACAAAAATGCCTGATTATGTCTCTCATTGTTTTACAAAATATTTAGGAAAGCACTGAATGTCATAAAGTCATGTGGCAGAATATCTTGTCAGACAGTCTAAATTGAGCTTTTCTGAGGTGTCATTTGTGTCTGGGAAACAGCTGGGCCGTGAGGCAGTTCCCGGACTCCTGATGCTCCTGCTGAGACTAACCTGATGTTGTTCTGCATTCAGATTTCAAGAGCAACTTCCCTGCCAGGGCTGCGTACCAGGTGGCCGCTTTGCCCAGAGTAAGTACGCCGCAAGATGGCCAGTGCGCATGGGCACACGAAACCCTTCGTTCTGGAAGGGCACCCAAAAATAGTTCCCATTTCTCAGAAACATAAAGTCTAAAGGCAGTGTACTGCTATGTACCTAGAAAAAAAAAAGTAAGAAATCTTATAAAGCAACACACAGGCATGACCCAATCCAGAGATTTAAATTAGGAGAAAAACCTTAAGAGCAACAGTTTTGTGATATTACTTAGGGAATAAGATTGGTGCTGAGGGTTTAGCTCTGTAGTACAACCTTCCGCTGGAGGAGTGGTGGGTTGCTGGGCCCCTCCTGTGTGTCACCCTGCAGTCTGACTTCCTACCTGTCCTCTACCTTCTGTAAGGACCTCTTCAAATGGAACCCAGTGTAGAATCAGTGGAGACCTCAGGACAACCTTAGCTCTAGCTGGAGGAAGCTCTACATACCAGCAGGGTGTTTTAACACTCTTGCTAGTTTCTACTTATTTTAGAGTATTGGCCAGAGAATTTGGGTATTGGTACTATTATGTATCCTCATTAAAAAAAAAAAAAAATTCACCTGGTCTCTCATTGAATAAAAAGAGTCTAGACTTTCCACTGGAATGATGCTCTCTGAACCGGTGGCACACAGGGCCACCATTATGGTTTTGGTGTCCCCTCACTAGGGCCTCTTTTCCTGTGTGTCCTGCCCGGGCTGCACACCTACAGCACAAAGGCAGGTCCCGCTCACTTCCTGTAACTTGCCAGTAAAGACCTGGTGTCACCTAGCAGTATCCTTTGCTGTTCTAATTAGTTACTGTTAATTAGTTTCTGGAAAGGGTCACTGGATGTTGAGCTTGGAAGCAAAAGACATGGGTTTGGTCAACCGCTGTTTATCTTTGCAACTTGGGACAACTTGACCAGCCTCTCTGAGGCCAGTGCCTCATTTCACGACTAGGGCCGCTGCAGGTATCCGATGATCTAACGCACCTGAATGTACCTAGCATGATAGCCTGACCTGCGGCAGGGTTTTTTTTTTTTTCTATTCTTTGCTTTCTGTGAAGAGACGAAAGGTAAAAAATGCTGTGTTGCCAGATGAGCGGTGGTGGCGCACGCCTTTAATCCCAGCACTCTGGAGACAGAGGCAGAGACAGGAAGATCTCTGTGAGTTGGAGGTCAGCCTGGTCTACAAGAGCTAGTTCCAGGGCAGGCTCCAAAACCGCAGAGAAACCCTAGCTCGAAAAAGAAGAAAAAAAAAAAAAAAAAAAGCTGTGTTGCCATTAGTTGCATCTGTTTTGAGAAGGTATTATTGAGCCTTAATTTGTATCAAATGATGGAGACAGTGTTCCAAAACTGCAGTGAAACCGGTCTCGAAAAAGAAAAACAAAACAAAACAAAAAAGCTGTGTTGCCGTTAGTTGCATCTGTTTTTAGAAGGTGGTATTGCGCCTTAATTTGTATCAAATGATGGAGACAGTGACTCTTGTTTTCTTTCCAGGGAAGTCGAGTTGAAATTGAAGCAGTTGCTGTCCTGGGGCCGTTCAGCTCAGCCTGACTATAAGTGGCCAGGCTGACGTTGACTCTGGATCTTTTTAAAATGTCTTTCACGCCTTAATTTTTACGAATGATGCTGGGAAGTATAAATGTGACCAAAGTAGCTGAGGTCATCGAGGAAACAACCTCACGCACGGAGAAATGAATTGGAGATTACTAGGTACACTGGCTGATGTTCTAACTGTACTTACACGCACTCACATTGCTGAGTGAGGGAAGGCTCAGCACAGCTACTCACGTGAGTAGCAGGAAAGGGGAAGGTGAGCTGTTCATGACAAATAGTAAGAGCACAGCTAATTAATTAAATTATTAATTTTTTCATGTGAAATATTTAGTCCTCGTGTTAGATATAGGGAACTAAATCAAAATAGTTGAACTTGAACAGTACAGGAGAATAAAGTGACCAAAATCTTACACAGATAATATTTTTCTAATGGAAATAAAATAGATGTGTAATTTTACCCGGTGTGGTGGTGATCTCTTATTTTTTGACACTTTAATTATACATTTAAAAATACTGCCTAAAAAAATAAAATAAAAAAAATGATAAAAATACTGCCTAGGTGGTTTTCTGGTCTTCCTTTCCTGTCTCCTCTGGGGGGGGGGGGGGGGTGGGAAGCCATCCAAGAGCATTTGTATCCATTAAACCTGGGTTTTTTATAATTTGGAAAAAAAAATACTGCCTAATGCCAGGCATGGTTGCACATACCTTTAATCCCAGCACTCAAGAGGCAGAGGCAGGCAGATTTCTATGAGTTCAAGGTCTACAAAGCAAGTTCCAGGGCAGCCAGGGCTACACACCCTGTCTCAGAAAAATGAATAAATAAATAAGAGTTAAACACACTACAAGATACCTAAAAACAAGTCACCCATATTTCTTTGCTATTATTATTTTATTTATTTTGTTATTTTTGAAACAGGTTCTTGCTGTGTAGTCTTGGCTGGCCTGAAACTCACTTTGTAGACCATAGTGGCCTCCAACTCAGAGATCTGCCTGCCTCTGCCTCCCCAGTACTGGAATTAAAGGTGTGCATGTGTCACCACGCCCAGCCTGTTGTCATGTTCGTATATAACAAATTCATATATACTCTCAGAGTATATAGAGCCTGCCTTGTTCTAAAGGGCACAACAGATCAAAAGGAATTTGTTATCTGTGTATTAACAGTTCAAACTAACACACCAGAGGAGGCTTTCAAATACTTCATTCGTTCTAATAACATATTTGCTTAATCAAAGTTGGAAATGTTGAGCCAAATAATCCTATAAAAATTTTTGGCCATAATTTTTCCTACTTAGTCATCAGGAAATGCCATGGTCACACAATGGTAAAGGACATTTGTCATAGACAAGTATTCTTATTAACGCTCCTGTGTTGGCTCCTGTGAAGAAAAAGAAAGATGAGCCAGACCTCAGAAAGACTTATAGTCGTCTCCTAACTTCTGTTTGCTCGGCGATAGCGACCCTTCAGGCTTCATAGTTATTTTTAAAGAGAATTCTAACCCGGAGATGTAGCTCAATAGATGAGTGCTTGTCTTGGAAGGCCTTAGGTTCAGTCCCCAGGGCCACGGGGGAGAAGGTAAGGATAATAGTTTCAAATACCCCAATCAGTTCACTGTTCAGCCATCACTCCCTGCCAACCAAGCAGATCCACTTAGGCCCAGCTGATTCCTCTAAAACACTAACTGATAGATAGCTATTGTTACAGTACCACTGAGTGATCGCTCGCTGTTCTCTCTAGGGAGTTGAGTGAACAGGTTCCAGTGAGCTGTGCTCAGTCAGTAGACTCAATATTCCAGCCAGAGTTGTGTTCTGACTTCTTATAACAAGTTTTGAAAACAAAAGGAAAGGAAAATATTCCTTCATGTACGTACATGTTAAGGGCAATGATTTTTAGTTGATTAGATCACGAATAACATTTATCCTCTGAATTTTATATTTTCTGAAGTTTCTTCAATGAATATATATTCATTTGTTACTGAGTTTTGGTAAAAGCTTTCCTTTCACTTACAACCTAAGTACTCCATGTGTGTCTAGAGAGTCCCTACATAGAAACTTATTTTTAGATCCCCTTCACCTCAATTGATTAACAACCTCTGATATTCATGAAACTTAAAACTGATCCATAAAATAATTACTAGTTGAAGTAACTCCTTGGTTATCCTCCGACTGAGCCACTGGAGTGAGGTGGCAGCTGGAAAGGTCACCCAGGGCCCAAGATATCTCTAGTGAGAGCTGGAACCCAATTGTCTTTCTAGAAACACCCTGTGCTTGGAGTCTCTAAAAGCACAAATGTACACCCAGCTACAGTTATTGGACCAAGTCATCCGACATTCTCTGACCCTTTAAGTGTGGAGAAGGCACTTCCCTTTAAAAAGTGCCTCTTTTGGTTTTGTTTTGTTGGTTTGTTTTTTGAGACAGGGCTTGTAATAAAACATCTGTTCACAGCAGATGGGTGCTTTCGAAGGCTTCGAAAGCTATAAGCTACACTGAGCTCTTACCATATAATATAAGTACAAATGGAAAAGAATACCATAGGTACGGACTATGGTTGATCCCAGGAGTCAGCCACACACTTCCATCCGATGGTCCTCCCAAACAGTTAACACTTGCAGTCAAGAGTTTTCAAGGTCTGGCCTGGGTATTTCCTAGATTTGAGGCTAGCGAAATAATGGCTAGCCTACTGTAGAGAACATTTATTCACCGTTTCCTTCCCCATTAGGTACAGACTATAATAAAGTTATCTTTTCTTAAGATTTATTCTTATTTGTATGAGTGTTGCGCGTGTGTGTATGTGTGATACACATATGCCTGGTGCCTGTCATTTTCCACGGCACATGGAAAATGTGGAGCCTTTCATTGTGAAAAATGCCAAACCTTGCAGGAAAACGCTCTAATTTCTATCACAAGCCAGAAATATCCTGTGTCCTGGGGGTATTCACGCTTATCCCATCATTATTATAACTATGTAACTCTGCTATCATGAGTTCCTTAAATTTTACTAATTTCTCTCTAGCTCCCCTACATCTAAAACTTCCCTTTTAGGGTCTCATTTTATCCTGAATGGACCACAAGGAAGAAAATCACCTTCACATTCTGAAATGATCTCAGTTTTTATTGGTAACGGCTATTGTCACTTTGAATGCATAATTATCCTAGTACCTAAAAAACTGTATAGCTTAGCAGTCTTATGGCAAAACACAATCAAAAACAACATTATTTTCCTGGTTTCTACAGTCAGTGTACAGCCACAGAAAAAGATGGCATCTGGCCCCACAGCCTCAAATTTTCCTGCCCTTTTCTATAACAAGCTGTGTACAGTAGCCCTTCCGTCGCTGTCCCCTGCGGTCCCCAGGTCGGCAGCTTCTCCTGTTTCTTGTTCTTTGACTTTAGCTTCTTCACTGCCTTTCTCGTGTTTCATCTCTGCTTCCATCTTTTCTCCAGTCTCACCTAGAAAAAGCAGCGAAAGGAGACACTAATAGTCGCTTGCTTAGCAGTGTGTCCTGGCTAGTTTTATGTCCCCTCGAGATAAGCTAGAGTCATCTGAGAGGAGGGAGCCTCAAACGAGAAATGCCCCTATAAGATCCGTCCATAAGGCATCTTCTTAACTCATGATTGATAAGGGAGAGGCCAACCCGTTGTGGGTGGTGCCATCCCTGGGCTGCTGGTCCTCGGTTCTTTTTGTTTGTTTGTTTGTTTATTTATTATGTGTTTAATAAATTTGGTTTATTTATTTAGTATTGTCAGTATTCTGTCTGCATGTGTGCCTGAATGCCAGAAGAGGGCACCATATCTCATTACGGATGGTTGTGAGCCACCATGTGGTTGCTGGGAATTGAACTCAGGACCTTTGGAAGAGCAAGCAGTGCTCTTAACGGCTGAGCCATCTCTCCAGCCCCCTGGTCCTCGGTTCTATAAGAAATTAGACTGAGCAAGCCATGGGGAGCGAGCCTGTAAGCAGCTCCCCTCTATGGCCTCTGCATCAGCTCCTGTCTCCAGGTTCCTGCCCTGTTTGAGTTCCTGTCTGACTTCCTTCAGTGATGGACGACAATGCCAAACAAACCCTTTCCTCCCCGACTTGCTTGTGGTCATGGTGCCTTATCACAGCCATAGTAACCCTGACTAAGGCCCACCAAAAACACAGTGGGTTTCTTCCATGCTGTCCTGACAGCATTCCCTCATTCCACAGAGCCTCTGAGGACACACTGTCACGCCACTGAATATCCCTGGGTTTTGGCCTGCTTATAAAGCCAGGACAAAAATTTCCCTAGGAAACGTTCTGTTCGGGGATAAAACATTGCTCAGTGGATAAAATGTATGTTTCTGCTACACAAGTGTGAAGACGTTGAGTTCAAATCCTCAGTGCCTAAGTAAGAAGCTGAGTACAAAAGAGCTCATTTGCAATGCAGTGAAGACAGGCAGATGATGCGTAGAGCTCCTGAGCCAGAGTCATCACTTAGAGCTAACTAAATCAATGAGCTACAGATGAGAGATTCTGCCTCCAACAGAAGGTGGAGGAAGGCAGAACAGCTGAGGAAGACCCTGATACCCACTGCTGGCCTGCACATGTATGGACATTGACATGGACATCCAGGCTGAGGTAATAATTATAAAATAAATGTTTAAAATTTTGACATAGCCTATGCTTTAGAAATGATTTGTTAGGGGCTAGGGAGTGATGGCACATGCCTTTAATCCCAACACTCCAGAGGCAGGTGGATCTTTGTGAGTTCAAGGCCTAGGACTGTTACGTAGAGAAACCCTGTCTTGAAAAACCAAAAAAAGAAAAAAAAAAAAAAGAAAGAAAGAAAGAAACGATTTGCTGGGAGCTGAACTGAGCCTTGAGAGAATGTGTTTCCCAAATATGGAAGTCTTTTGTATTTGGGTGACATGAACCTCGACCACCTATGACTCCAGAGCTGGCCTCCATCCCCTTGGAGCCTGTCCAAGCAGTCGGGCCCTGGGCTTCCCTCCTTTTACCTTCAATGTGTTGCTCCTCTTTATCGGTATGAATTTCTCTGGCCACGTCCACGTTTGTTGCCGTCTCTGCAGCTCCTGCCAGCTCCTCCCTGCTTCCAGCGCTTGCTTCGGAGTGAGATCCCTGGGTGTTTCTGGTCCCATCAGGAGTTTCACAGAGTGACTCATTCACTACAGGAGTTTGCACAAGCTGGCTTCCGTCAGGCACTTGTGGTGTTTCACTCTCTTTGAGAATTCTTTCCAGAAGTTGGGGCTGCACATCTTTGCATGGTGCTTCCTGAGGTTGCTGCTTCTCACTGCTTTCCGCAGACTGACCCCCTTCTGCTACTCCGGGAGAGTTGTTCTCTTTGGGAATTGCTTCCAGAAGCTGAAACTGTTTGTCCTTTGGGGTCTCTTGAAGTTCCTTTTGTTCAGCTTCTTCCACAAACTGATTTCCTTCCGACATTTCTGGAGAGTTGTTCTCCTTGAGAATTGCTTCTACAGTCTGGGGCTGCGCGTCCTTTCCCATTGCTTCTTCAGGCAGCAGTTCCGTAGCCGTTTCCAGAGGAAGAGCGCTCTCCGCCGCCGTTTCTAGAAGTTTCGTCCCTCTGGCAGCCTGTGGAATCTCAGAGTCCTCCACTGCTCCGGGGGAGTCCCTCTCTCCTGATGTGCTCAGAGGCTGGCTCCTGGCTTCTGTTCCTAGAGGCTCAGTCTCAGCGTTTCCTTTCAGAGACTGGGCCTCTGTCCTTGTTTCTACATCTTTCTTCTTTTCCTCCGCCCCCAACGTATCATCGTTGCCTCCTGGCTGAAGTAGATCAGATTCTGCCCCTTGCACGGGAGGCTCAGTCTTCTTTGTGGGTCCTGATGGGTCTGCGGCATCCTTTCCAGAGGCCTCATCATTTGCCTGGGATGGTTGGTGGCAGGATTTAACACCATTGGCTGTAGGCACCACGGAAGCCTTGGGCCTCTCTAACGGGACCTGGCCAGGCCTTTGTGCACTGCCGTAGAAGGCAGCTTCTCTTCCTGGTGTGCATGGCATGGGTTGGGCCACGCAGAACTTGCTTTGTTCTCCAGTAGATGAATTCTCATTTGAAGGTACTTTTTTTTTTGAGTATTTAGTTGTAAAATAAGTAGAACAGAGAGAACAGAGTTATTATTTAGCTAACTTGAGAAAGTTTATTGACATCAAGCGGATTTAGTTGTTCAATCAAACCACGACCCTCACTCCAAATCAAAGGCCTTTAATATCGTCAACCTAAACACCTCACCTTTATCATTAGCGTCCTCTGAACCAGCTTTCTCCTGAGCATCCCATCAAGGCTTCCGTCCATATTCTATTTTCCCACAACTACCTTGCTTCTCTTTTACTCACCCTTTCTCCTCTTTAGCCTCCTCTGTGTGGACCTCGGGCTGTTAGAGTCAGAGTGGTGATGTGGGATTCCCCTCTGTATGCTGTGAATATCACTGGTTAATAAAAAACTGGTTTGGCCTGATAGGGTAGATAGGCGAGGAAAACTAAGCTGGGAGAAAGGAGGTGGAGTCAGAGAGAAGCCATGGAGTCCCACCAGAGACAGATACTGGAACTTTAGCGGGTAAGCCACAGCCACGTGGTGATACACAGATTAATGGAGATGGGTTAAATTAAGATGTAAGAGTTAGCAAATAAGAAGCTAGAGCTAATGGGCCAAGCAGTGGTTTAAGTAATACAGTTTCTGTGTGGTTATTTCGGGGCTGAGCAGTTGGAAATGAAAAAACGGCCTCCTTACAACAGAGTGGGCCTCTGAAAAGGAAAGGCTGTACAACAGAGAAACTCCTACAGGTGAAGACTAGTATAGAGTACAGAGACATCCAAACCTGAGTTTTATGTCATGGTAGGGGGACAGGGAAACGTGAAATTCAGAACATAGGGGAGCACGTAGTCCACTTAGAGCTGCTCCAGCTCCTCCTGCATCTATACAGCCTTGGGGACAGAGCCTTAGGGACACAGCTCTCAGGGCTGACGTGTGACGTGGGCACAGCCTTGGGGACACAGCTCTCAGGCTTGACATGTGACAGGCACAGCCTTGGGGACACAGCTCTCAGGGCTGACGTGTGATGTGGGCACAGCCTTGGGAACATGGGGACACAGCTCTCAGGGCTGATGTGTGACATGGCAGTGGGTGCCCCTCCATCTCAGAGTCCTGTGAGACATCCCAGCACACTAAGCAATGACTGTGAGAGTGCTTGGGACAGTTTAGAGCAAACAACTGGGTGACATGTTTGCACTCCTGGGTTTGTGACCCCGTACTCCTACTAGGTGACCTAGTACCCCCACTACTGGAGAGCTTTTAGAAAGCGAGGCAGGGGATCACCCAAACGCTCTTCCTAACAGCAGAAGCTGGAAACGTCTAAAAATATATTCCACTGGGTGAGATACTGCCCCACGAGAGAATATGGATGTGAAGACCGTGTGCCAGAGCCCATAAGTGCAAACAAAAGATCAGCGTGCACACTGGGTTGACCCAACAAGGGGGAGCAAGCAGTGGATGTCAGAACAAGGTCTGCTGTGTAGCGGACAGCCCACAAAGTCAGGTTTTGGTGTTACAGGTGATCACAACTAAGCTAAAAGGAAGGAAAGGATGGAAGAAGAGAAGGAAGAAAAAAAACAAACCAATCACGAAGGGAGGGGAGCTGGAAGAAAGTAACCCCTAGCGTCACAGTGGGTCTGCAGATGATACTCTTTTCTTGCTGCTACCATCCTAGAAGGTGTCTTCCTTACTTTCCTGTTTTTCCCTAACCTGGTTACACACGCACACAATCTAAAGACTGTGCCCTGACCCTCGGTCTCCTCTTCTGGTTGCCCCTTCTCTGGGGCAAATATTTTTAATCTTTCAGCTGTTTGGGAGGATAGTCTTTTGTTGTTGTTGTTGTTGTTGACGGAGACTGACCTCCTACATCGGCTTCACATCCTAATGCTGGGATTGTAAGCGTGCCCACCACACCCCACCGGAAGAATGCTTTTCTTTAGGTACCTTAGGATATTTTGACTTGGGGCATTTCAGTTAACTCCTACTGTGGAAGAACAGGACCTTGCAGCTCATTTTTCTAACCTAACCTACTCCACCATCATCCCACCCTGTCCCATTACACATTCGTATGTCCTTTCAGGTCAGTGACTGTGCACTAAGAATCCCTTAAATCATGACTCTCTCATAATTTAGAGAGCCATGTTTTCAATCTGACTTCAACAGACACTCTAATGAGCATGGTTTCTAACAAAAAGAAAATTTTCAATTAAACACATAAGTGATACATAAAGGGAAAATCTGAACAACCATGAGAAGCACAGACTCCGCCCTCAGGTATCCGAGAGTCCTGTGAAACTCGGCAACAGTCACTAAACACAGAGGAAAGAGATCTGGCAAGCTCCGAACCATATGGAACAGCTTCTTGAGAGTACCCTAGAATGCCAAGGAGGTCTGGAGGCTTCAGGGCAGGAGAGCTGGAGGCCAGACTGGAGTGAGGCCACGGAGGCGTCTGTAGGTGGCGCCCATGAGCTTAGAGTGAAGCTTGAAGAACAAGAATTGTAACCAGGGCTGCTTTCCCTGAACCACAGAAAATGGTTCCCTGTGGTTCCATCGCCCCAAAGCAGCTCCCTTCGCTCCCACAACTGTCCTGGTAGGAACTGCCTTCAGGGTTAACACGAAAGTGCGTTACTGTATTAATCACAGATGTTTGCCTGGGGACATTTCCTAATGAAATAGCAACTATAGCGATCAGTACTGCCGGTGAAACGAAGCAAGCCATGTTCACCTCCCTGTGCCTGCTGGGTGCCTTTCCAAGGTGTCACCTTTCCAAAGCAGAAGGCTGAGTGGTTTAGGTGTTAACACACCCAAAACACAGGTACGGGTTTTTTTGTTTGTTTGTTTGTTTGTTTGTTTTGGTTTTTCGAGACAGGGTTTCTCTGTGGCTTTGGAGCCTGTCCTGGAACTAGCTCTGTAGAACAGAGCTGGTCTCGAACTCACAGAGATCTGCCTCTGCCTCCCGAGTGCTGGGATTGTTTATTTATTATGTATACAATATTCTGTCTGTGTGTGTGCCTGCTAGCCAGAAGAGGGCACCAGACCTCATTACAGATGGTTGTGAGCCACCATGTGGTTGCTGGGAATTGAACTCAGGACCTCTGGAAGAGCAGTCAGTGCTCTTAACCTCTGAGCCATCTCTCCAGTCCCCAGGCACGGGTTTTTATATAGAGTTTTGTCTTGGTTTTTGTTTGGATTTTTTGAGATAGGGTTTCTTGTGTAGCCCTAGTTCTGTAGACCAGGATGACATTGAACTCAGAGATCCACCTCTGGGAGTAAAGGCATGCACCACCACCACCCAGCTTATACAGAATTTTTAACAGCAAACACATTTCAAAACAACTTAACTATGTAAGACTAGAGTCAATTTGCTAAAAAGGATTAGCACAAGCACCTGGTACTCCATAGTAGAAAGTGAGGGTTAAGTAATCTAGACAACATCTAAATTAAATCGGCATATATCTCCTAAGAACCTAGAGAGCTTAATATAGAGGTTTTTTTTTTTTTATTAGCTGTTATCTGACAATCATGAGAGGGCTACATACACAGGCCCCCAAACACTGTGAGTTGTCAATGCTGATCTACAAAAGCGAATCATTCTCACAGTGGGCTGTCAGAGGCAGCTCTGGGCTGGGCACAGGAATTGTAGCAGGTCACGGAAAGGACCCTCCCCGGCTACCTTAGTGCTTATCCTCTGTAAGACAATTCAAACAATACCTACTTCCCTCATCAACTACAACTCGGTACTCCTACAGTTCCTCACAGCCCAGCATCCCCATGCACTCCACATGACCCCCTCCTAAAGCAGACAAGCGGAAGCACCTGCAGCACCCTGAACTTGCGGGCAGTGCCTGTCCATATAGTTACATAATAAGTGCTGAGGACGGATGCACTGATTCCACCCAGAACTGTTTAAGGATACGTCCGCTCCGTTTCATCAACGCCTACTCCGCTCTGGGCCTAATCCTTTGATGCCCATTATCTCTGACGCTGTTATAGACTGACAGATCTGCTGCGACAGCTGAGCCGGCAGACCTTTGTGGCAAGCACCCGTGGTGACAGGCACACAAAGAACCTAAATGCCAGGCCACATTACTGGGAGGACTGGAGCCAGAGCTAACATACCTGAAACCCACATTATGGTGGAAGCTTTTCAATCAGTTCATTGCCCTGATGGGAAGTGAAAAGTCTCTACCCAGCAAAGAGAAGTACCCGGGTCAGTACTTCCTATGCTGTGCCACACAGCATCCTGAGCATCCCAGGCCTCCCGGGGAGTGCTCCTGGCGCGTTCTGTGCGGCTGCTGTGGAGGTGCTGGGTTCTTAGACCGTTTACCTTAATTCTTCTGCTGAGAAGTCCTCCCTCTTCAAATCACAGCACCTGCCATCTGTCTCACGAGCACAGTCACTGAAATTTACTACTAGGCGACTTGGGGAGTTCGTGTGCAACAGCATGAGCCCCCACAGGGTGCGCCAGCATCCTCGGGTTCTTTCCTCGCTTCATTCCCAGTCCCAGTCCACAGCCAAGAGCATCAGGGAGCTATTCTGGGTGGTCTTACCCACCGCCCTTCACAGTGTGTGGATGCATTGTTCTGCTACCGTGACTCCAGTTCCAAACCCAACGTGTGAGTATATCTACCAGTATGTATTAATAGGGTCCTCACTTTGAGCAGAGATGAACTTAAAAGAATATTTCATGCAGGGCCGGGCGATGGTGGCGCATGCCTTTAATCCCAGCACTCTGGAGGCAGAGGCAGGCGGATCTCTGTGAGTCTGAGGTCAGCCTGGTCTACAGAGCTAGTTCCAGGACAGGCTCCAAAGCCACAGAGAAACCCTGTCTCGAAACCCCCCCCCCCAAAAAAGAATATTTCATGCAATTGGACTAAAACTAACCAAAAACACCTCTAGAGGTGAAATTTAAAAATCAGTGTTTTTTAACTACCTAAATTCCTATTATTATTACTATTTATTATTATTATTATTATTATTTTGGCCATCAAAGTAAATGAAATAACTTTTATTTCGTTTTTCTTTTTCAAG